AAGCATTATATTCACTCATACACTGAAGGAATTAAAGAGTTTGAAAGCTACATGTTGTTTGAAAGGTTATCTCAGCACTCAGTCCATTGTGAAGATAAATGCTGCAGTTTAACTACAATGGTGAAAATGACGCTAAATWGGCAAATTAAAGTTTTAGTGCAGATATAGTAAATCTGTTACAAAAGAAAGAAAAGGTCGTCAATTAACTGTACTGACAACATATGTTGGACTGTGAAAACACTGTATGGTAATTCTATCTTTTATCTTCTTTATTGTGCTGATTAGTGCAGAGGGGGAAGAGTGGTCCGTCTGATCTGATCACAGAGCATTGTGTTTGGGGTCATTAACCTATAGGGGGTCCCTGAGGTTGACAAGTCAGCTCCCGCCCCKCTTTACAGACTTTCTGGAGCTCAGTCATCCTTGAGTCCCTCTATGTGGACAACACAACAGCAACCAGGAAAACAATCAAAGAAAACAAATGGTAAAGAGGAAAAACAGCCGACTGTGCTTTTTTTTAGCATAGCTTGTCATTCATCAGCAAACACAGAGCCTGAATAACCGAGGACCATGTATCCACTGTTAGTTTTATTCTTTATCAGGCAGCCATGTCCCGAGACAGGAAGGGGGTCACCTGATCCCTAAACATCTGGGATTTGCATCAGAAAACCAATACTTTTCTGCACGGTGCGTTAGCAATAACGCCTGTGGCAGGGTGCTGTCTCATGTAGCAGACATCTGCATAAAGATTCAGTCAGATCCATCAGTCAAAACTTTCTGCCGCCACCCATTCCGCAGCATCATGGCACCTACATTCATTCATACAAGCTCACATAAAAAAATAATCAAACAGCTGTCTGTTTTYCCCCCCTCATTCACTGAATGTCTGTGCTTTTTCTTTTTTTATTCATGTCACACATTTTGCAAATCAGAAATGTGAATACTCCGGCAAACCTGACATCACGTCTCATTCACAAACCAAATTTCAAACTGTTGTGGTATTGAAAAGCAGCCCTTTTCAGGATGGCAACAGAAAAATGAAGGGCCCGCGGCAGAGATCATTGCTGATTGCCTGTAGAGGAGGAATATGCAAATAAAGCAGAAGGTAAATGAAAAACAAAGCAGGAGTTTTGGCAGCAGCCTTTTTACGTAGTCCTTTAATTTGGCATTGGTTGGGAACATGCAAATGTCAATAATGAATTCATGTCAGAGCATGGAGGAAGTGAAAAGACTGCCTTTTTCCTTGGTGAGGCCCGGAACAGTCTCAAAACCCACTGCAAGCTTTTCAATAAACACTAAACTTATGTTACAAAATAAATAAAAAATAATGAGCGAGTAAAAATAACAAGTATTGTTCAAAGCGGTACACAGAACCAATCCAACTGTGTTTATGTATCCTGGCCAACAGTCAAGAAAGTAGGGCACCRCAGCCTGCCAGCTGTGAGCCACAGATATTGACCAAAGCACAAACAAAAAAAAGTTAATCAATTTTCTGTTTGAATGAATGTGATGAGAGGCTAAAGTTGGACTAAGGACAGTCTGATAAAGACCATGACCAAGGGCAACCTTGACAGCAGATTTAAGCTAGCACCAGGCAAACCACAACAACATAGGAAACAATCTTAGTGTTGTCTAAACACTGAAACCAGACAGACAGACTGGAGCACGTCCTTGGGAAAGGAGACCACCTTTCCCCCTTGAACAAAAGCCTAACAGGGCAACAGATTTCCACTGGTCTTGAGATAACAGAAACCCTACACCATCGTCCTCCAGTGGGGCTCTTTGTACGTCTAAGAGAGGGTCAATCAGCAGCCGCTGACAGATGTGTCTGCAGTCGATTTAGGAGAGGAAGCCATGTTGAGGTCAGGCACAAGTTTGTCTGCTCTGTCCCCGTGGAAGGAAGACCCGGATCAGGACGGGATGTCCAAGATTGACCTTTCCTCACCTCATAATCTTTGACAGGCAGCACCTGGAYGAGCCGGGTTAAGTTTTGTGCCGTGTTGTTGAATTCACGGTACACAGGCAGACAGATAACTCTCGTCTGAGAATCTCTTTGTGTTTCAAACAAAAGTGAGAGTCACTCCAGCTGGAAAGCAAACAAATCGGAAAACCTCCAGTGGAGGTCTAAGTAGTTTTGGCAGATGCTCCAGGCTTAAGTGTCTGTTCAATTAGGCACTCCAGTTAAGATGGCAATCATGGTTTAAACCSTGTGCTGCTGTGTTGAAGCTGAAGTTGGAACAGATTTTGTCCCAGGCCAAATATTAAAATCAGGTTGTTGGCAACGATTTGTATTCCAGTCAACTTTGTATCGTGTGCTGAAGTTTTCACTTGTTTGTGTTTTTAAGCAACAAATATACAGTATTTTGCTGTAATTTTCTTCAAACAGTCCAGTTTTTCTCTTTCAGCTAACATTATTAGAAGTAAAACATAACTATGGCTCAGTTTCTACTGTACTGGTATTTTCCTCAGCCTTTTTAAACCGTCRTCAATTATTACAGGGCAGCTGCTCTGCTGTGACAAACACCAACCATTGGATATTTCAGCACCCCCAGAGCAAGCGAATAAAACCTCTCTAATAAACCTGCTTGTTTACAGAACATTAATGGAGACCCTTCGGGGCATTCAAAGTAAAATAATAAGAGAGGCTTGAGGTAATAATCAACAGGCTACAGTGAGGAATATGTACAAACAGGGAGTCTGCACATTACACTGGAAGCTGTATACATCACASAGAATTGATCCCCACCGGCAACAACAACAAGATGGTATTCAACAACCCATGAACAAAGCTGCTCCATCGCAGCCCCATGCTCAYGGCTGTGGGGGTCTGACTTGTCAGGTAGCCAGAGGGGGAAAACACTGGATATGATGCAGGACAAGAGTGTGTTGGCTGGGTCAGYTCTGCTGTGCAGATGTTGACTAACAGCCTGACTCATCTGAGCCCAAAGAGAAGTAAAACCTGCCGCTTCGCTTTATTTAAACATGAAACCAAAGAGTCGAGAAAAGGCTCAGATATGTCAAAACAACTTGGGTTTACTGTGTAATAAAGAGGACATATCTGCAAAATCCACTTTTTTAGCAGTTAAATACAATTTGTTGTGTTCTTGGAGTCTCTAGGAGGCAGAAAATATGAATTTAGTCTCTCCTAGTGCTGCATAGATATCTTTAGAYGCTGTTTGGGTCATATATTTTTTAGCTTGTTTAATTGTCTCTATTTTCTGTGATTATAATGTCACATTATTTGTGTCAGAACTACCAAATAAGTTATGGACCGACCAACTATAATTTTGTGGTCTTCGTTCTCCTCTGGCAAAAGAGTCTGCGCTGCTAAATAGTCGTAACCCCTCTATCAAAYTAGGACGGACTGTTCTGGAAGCTGAAAGGAGGCGGGGTTGAAAGCATTTGGCTTTAAAGAGACAGCCTCAAAACGAGTTGAATTAGATACGCCTCAGAAAAGGGGTGGGGCTTGTGAGGAGGAATTCAAACCAAAGCATTGCAGTTCCACYTYATAWGGATTGAAGGATTTAAATGTGAAAAGGGATTTAAAACCAGGATATGCCACCTTAAAAGTAGGCAAACGATGCTTTTACTTTAGTAGGGGTGCTTTTTGTTGACGAAAAAAATCTACAACCCACTTCCCTTTCTATAATAAAAGAAAAGAGAAACAGCTTTAAGCTTTCCAGTGTCTTTTTCTGCCATTTATTTTAAAAGGATTAGAAAATGGACACATTGGCCATGGGTTGAACATTTAAAGTTAAATATTTACCGGATGAATTTGATTAAAATGCATCTCTAGTACTAATACACTCGTGCACGTTGTTTGCCTGCATACAGGTTCACAACYGCAGCCCCACATATCTGAAATTAGCACAACTCAAAATCCCTGTCATGAATTATTCTGGTTTGCTGTGACAACATCATCCAATATTCATTAACTGTCAACKTTAAAAGAGCTCATCTGCTACGAGTTTCACACAAAGAAGATGAAAAAGTTTCAACTGTGTTTTAAATGTCATCTTCAATCTTGATGTAAACAGTTAAGAATGCTAAATATACAATTTCCTCCCTCGAGTTTAGAAATAAAACTAAATTCACAGTGCAGATTAAAAAAACTCCGACGAATATGGCTGAAAAATGTTCAAACATCAGCATCATTAATACCAAAACAACTTCCTCATAAAGCATCTGGCTTAAAAATAAAAAAAATAATAATGTGTTGAGAAACAAATCATTCCAACATGTGAAGGTTTCTGTCAGCATATTCATACTTTCTCCTATTTTTATTTTTATTTTCTGATGATAGGATTTAATGYGTTCTTTAGAAACCAGTTGTAGTAACCAAATGTGACCAATAGAGTGGGTCTCGCTAGGCTCATTTATTACAAATCCCACCCCCCTTTTCAGGTATGTTTATTCAGAAATACACCTGAACCGTTGTAAAAGAGTTTATTGAACTGCTGATTAATACATTTTTTCTATTATATTTACAAACCRTGTCGTTAATAGATGAGGCTGAACCACGGTTAGCCACTAGCTCACAGCTAAGGATGCTAACCCGGGTGTAAATGTGTAGCATAGCTGTGAACAGGCTTGGCACAAGAGTTAAAAACTGTACGGTATTTATGTTCTGAAGTTGATTCATGCACTATTTTGAGTGTATTTTGTTATATATTTGTGTATTGTGATGTTTTAGAAGACGGCCACYTGAGTTGCATCAACTCAGTCAATACACGCCTGAGCAGAGGACAGAACGTGTCCGAGGCTCATTTATTTTAAATTCGCCCTTTTTTCCAGAGCTGTTACAGGATCAGTGCACACAAGAATGTGCCTTTTCTTTTTTCTCTTTCCTCCACTCCACCTAGTGTTCCTGATCAGCAGTGCAGCTCTAAAACACAGAGGAAGAAAGAGAGCAAGAGAGAGAGAGAGAGAGGGAAGCCCCGCCTCCAGGTGATGTCAGCGCTCTATTGAAGCAAAGCTAGAGGCACACACAACTCCACATTTGTACTGAGGTCCACTCCAGCACTCTGTCCTCTCACACACAGCCTGCTGATTGTGTGTGTGTATGTGTGAGAGAGAGAGAGAAAGAGAGAGAGGGAGAGGGAGGGATGGAGCTACCAAACAGCAGTGCTGCTGCAGATAAACTAACACCTCTATCCTTGTGAATGAGGAGCTTTCTTTATATTTTTTTGGATCTGCCTTGAAATCTTCAAAGCCTGGATTGGATTACTATTTTCCTGCTTTGAGCCATGATTTAAAAAGGATACCTGTTACTTTTCTTTTTTCTTTCTTTTTTTTTTCTTGAGGGTTGATTAAAGAGGTAAGTGTTCTTTCTTTGCTGGTACAGTCCTGTTTGGGAGTGTTTCTTTTGCCTCTTCTTTTTTGGACCTTTTTCTCCTCCTAAATCCAGATGATTGAAAATGTTGAGGGATCGTGAGGAGCTGAGTGAATAAAAACAGTTTCATTCCCTTTATTTGTTCCCCCTCCAGCGCTCGGCCCTGTCAGTAAATAAATATGGGCTCCCTTCTTTCTCTCTAAAGTGGCTAAGCTTACAAAAATAACAATGATGATGATGATTTAAATAACTAGCTACTGAAAACAAAAAAAGATCTTCCCTATTTTGTTCAAATRCTCACAGAAAAATGAGAAAGAAATCTGTCATGCAGCCCGTTCCCTTCCTGCAACTTGCTGCTTGGATCGCGATGCATCCTCTCATTTCTGACACAAACCAGCATTTTGAGACAAATCAAACTCCTGTTTTATCAGATTTCTCCTCAGCTGCAGAGAACATGCGAGACGACACCCAGGACCACTAGAATCTGATCACTGTTACATTTTTTTGTATATTTTGACATTCCTAAAGAAAGTGGGGGGACGGATCGGTGGGGAATATTATGCAAACTTGAAGGGATCAGTGTGTGTGTGTGTGTGTGTGTGTGTGTGTGTGTGTGTGTGTGTGTGTGTGTGTGTGTGTGTGTGTGTGTGT